ATGAGGGTCCTGGGACTCTTCAGTATATGTATGGAGAAAACTTGGTCACCTTTATAGCTTCACAGTTTTCATATTCTCACTGTCATTGACCTTTGTGTCTATAGTAACTCAGTCAATGATGTACAAAATTGACCTGAACCTAGTCACAGCTCAGAAATACTAGCACTCTGTATTTTTGAGCACCTTCCTATTTAACTACCATATCCTTTTTTTCCTAATGCTTTTGCTCATCCAGTGTTCTTCCTCATCATCCCATTCCACACACATTATGTGAATATTTGTACATGTAGTATATGGTATACAATATGAAGATCATTATAAACATTTAATACACATTTAATATATAGTGATAGCTGTAGCATGTGTGTGTATGTGTGTATATATATATATGTATATATATATATATATATACATAACTTTTTTCCTTAAATTTCTTTGTATAAAATCTAATTTTTATTGCCTATCATTTCAACCCCACTCATGAACGTACTCAAGAACTGATTCAAAACTTCATTGTCTACTGCTACTCCTGTACCACTGAGTTATTGCTAAAAATGAAAACATAAATGATCTGTTGATGTTGCAGGTTCATAGTGTCCAGCCTTATCTGCACTTTCTAAACACCCATAGTTTTAGGGTAAGGTTTATGGCTAGGTCTAGTGTCAGAGTTAGGTTTAGGGTAAGGTTCAGGTATAGAGCTAGGTGTATTATAATGGTCAGAGTCAGGTTTTGGGTTTGGGTTAGGTTAAGGTTTAGGGTTAGGGCTCAAATTAGTGTTAGGGTTAGAGTTAGGGTTAGGATAATGGATAGGGTTAGGTTTAGGGTTCAGGTTATATTTAGGGTTCAGTTAGGTTTAGGGTAATGGATAGGGTTAGGGTTAGGCTTAGAGAAAGTAAATATTTCTTAAACAGATTACAAAAACCATTTTACCATGAGAGGAAAAAAATCAACAGTGAACTTTAATATTGTTTTTCTTGTAATATATGGTAAATTACTACAAAGCAGGCAAATCCTTCTCCAACTAAAATCTTGCTGAAGATTTAAAATTTTATTAAATTTATATTTCATTTTATTAAATTTATATTTAATTTTGAATTAAATATAATTTTTTGAATTAAATGTAATTTTTGATTCAATATTGAAGGTGGGGACAGTGTTGCTAAAAGACATTTACAAGAAGATTATTTACTATCAGATACTTTTCTCTAAAAGACCAAACATTTAGAGTGCTCTAGGGGGGAACATAGAATGCTTAGGTATAAGAGACACTTGATGCTGGTGCAATATAAAGATCTCAGTTACCACCTGGTGATGGTAGATGTTACAAATAATCTGCTCATTATAATTCATTTACAGCCCTGGTTCTGGTTCTCATGGTCATCATTAAAACTGTCCCTGGAGTTTTTCAGAGAAGCATTGAAAAATGTGAATCAGAAGGGGTCTTTGATAATTACTGTAATGTTAGAATGACTTTAAGAAGGCAATAGTGACATAATGTATAGCATTAGCTCCCAGGAGTTGGCCCGTAGGTATAAAGTGGAATAAGAAGAAATGGCAATGAGAGTGGACTTATCTTCAAGGCATTGAGTGCTCTTCCATATCCTGAGAGACCCCCATTTGTCTCCACTATAACCTTGGATATACTAAGAGACATCTTTAGTGCTGAGCAGTTGGAGACTGGTGCTGTTCCATAGATAAATTTATCCATTAATGGATTAAATACCTAAAAGATAAAGATATCAAACAAGGTACTTTATGAAATATGGATAAAGAAAAGTACCTATGTGTATAGGGAACTTAAGAACAACAACAGCAAGCATAACATTTGAGGTTGAGAAATAAAGCAATCTAGGGAGGCTGACTGACTCCCTAGGTATGTTACAGAGGTAGACAGCCTCCAATATTTGTGGTCTCCAGACTATGTGGGAGGTTGGAATGTAAGGTAACATTCAGTTATGCATATCCCTGTGTTCATATTGTTTTTCAAGCTGTTTCTTTGCTGGGATGTCTTGGGATTCAGCTTTGCCTGAGGAACCTGGGGATGAAGACCACCAGCAGAAAGAAGGCAAAAACCTGTCCACTTGTGGGGAAAGAAGATATCAACACAGAAATTTTAGCTTCCCCAAACTGTACCAGAATTTTTGGTAGAACTATGCTATACAATTTTGAAGTATCCCGTAACCATAAGTTAGATCATCAAAGTAAGCTCCAAGTGGGTTTTAAACTGTGGTATTCATTTTAGGGTCCTTAATAGCTAGCTGTTTAAGACTTTTACCTAATTCCTAATGCTGCATGCTTCTTCGTAACCCTGGCCTCTACTGCACCTGTGGTTATATCTGCCTTTTCCCCATTTTCTTTTTCAGGAATCAATTTAACATTACTGGAAACTTATGCTACCAGCTCCTGTGGGTGTTCTGATATATTGTTTCCCTTAGTTTTGGTAGGAAAGATCAGATAAGAGGTCATCAATTATAGTGCAGTGACTCAAGAGGAAACAAGCTTTTCAAAACTACTTAAAATATTAAAGGCTGGTGTTGTGACTCAGTGGTAGAGCACTTGCGTAGCATGTGTGAGGCACTGGGTT